TGGAGTCGGGTTTTTGGTGTTAAACGTGGGGTGAGCAGATAATTACCTTTGCTTCTAGTAAAATGAAGTAGCTGCGAAGCTGGCAGCGTCTGGGATGTCTTTATTAGCTCCTTAATTTAATTGAAATCCCTTGCTGGGAAGGGCTGGAAGGGGAATCTGATTCCTGACAGCTGAGATCTAATATAGTTGTCTGCTGCAGCGGAGCAGTCTGCAGGGAGGTGGGGGGGCGGGAGCCCTTCTCAGCAGGGGACAGCCAATCTGCCTTTTGTTTCTTTTGTAATTAATAGGTAAGCTAGGTCAGCTCCGGCTGTTAAACCTTTAGCTCTGCTGGCAACCCGAGCGCCTGCCATCCCGGGGGAGGGGGGGGGGGGGGGGGGGGGCCCGGGGCGGGTTCGCTCATCGGGTTCTGGCGCGGCCCTCTCAAGGCAGCAGCTCTGTCTCGGCCTTTGCAGCACCCCTCTCTTCATCCGCGTTCCCCTGGTAAAGGTTGCCTTCGCTCAAGCAGTGGCACCCTGTGGTGTTGGGGTACGTCTTCCGAAGCCGATAGAAATGTCAGATGAAATACATGTACGCCAGAGGCCGGCAGGGATGCGAGCCCTGTCTGAGCGCTGCAGGCAGAGCATTTCTCAGGCTGCCTTGAAAAACAATTTATTTTCTCTTTCTCTCTCTTTTTGAAGCGTACGGCCTGTTGTGCTACTGAAACTTTCCTGTTTCTTACGGATGAGAAACCTTTGCTTTAGCCAGATGCTTCTAGCAGTGAGAAAGGATGCATGAGCGTAAGCGACTGAATGTTTGGAAATGCTTAATGAAACACAGGTAACTTTTTTCAGATGCCAAATGAGCTTGAAAAACAGGCTGGACGTGCTGTCACAGAGTGATGAAACAGGTCTGTTCACAGCACCAGCGGCTGGGGCATCAGAGCAGCTTCCCTAGCGCCAGCGGGCCGGTGTCACCGTGTTCCTGGAAGGTTTTGGCTAAAAGCTGCCTAAAGACCACAGATTTGTGTGGTTTCTCCTTCCGTATGTGTTTTCATTGCTGAAACTATTTGGTTACTAATTTTTCCAGCTCAGTATTTTTCTTCGCTCAAAATGGGAACTGTGGCTTTTTATCAAAGAGCTTAAATAGCAGTATTGGTTACTTCAGATGCTTCTTGTGTCAGCAGTGAGGCAAACTGCTGAAGGGCCGGGCCCGAAGTCTCCTGGACAGACCAGCCCCTCGTGAGGCCCACTCTTCCTTCCTCCTCCTTTCACAGCGTGTCTCCTGTCTTTTCTCTCAAGAGACTTACGGTAATTCCTCAAATCACAATATATTTGAGTTTTCTGCCTTTCCCTCCACTCTGTTCCTCCTGTTCACCCTGTCACTTCTAGCGTGGGTTCTGTGCATGCTCCGATTTTTCATCCACCACGTGGTGGACCCTGGGATAGGATGAGCCACGCAGAAGATACTCACGTATAATGTCTGCACGGGATTTTTGTCTTGCTTGGGTAGGGGGGCAGGCTTGGTAATTGAACATCTCTCCCTTCTCGAAGTCCGCTTGCGTTTATGTGCAGCGTAGTTTAATGTCTTCTTCCTCCTGCCCTTTCTTTTTGAATGTCAAGGGAAATTTTGTCTTGAAAGCTCTCGGCTGCTGCATTTCACTGCTGCCCAGGTGAGCTGCTTGTGGTCTGGACAACGTAAAGGTGAGGTAAACAGGAGGGCTGGGGGAAAAGAGTTAGCTGCTCACGGAACTGATTCCAGCCAGGAGAGAGCTGTTAACTCTGATTAAACAAACACAAAGGCAAAATGTAAATCCTGTCTAATCATATAGATATTTTTTGTTTGTTTGTTTTCAACTCCTCTTAGATTTAGTATCTCTTGGAAAGATTTAATTTAAGGCTCCTCTGTGAGCTGTTTGTGGTGTCTGCTTCCAGCAAGAACAGCAGAGAACCAGAGGTCTCATTGATTAGATTAAATATCTGGGTCACTTACCATTACCTGTGTTTATTCTCTGGTAGGTTTTGATATTGGAAGAGGCCGAGATAAAAGGAACATGTGCAGAAAGAGATAACTACGGCTGGAGCTGCCCCAGGCAGAGGCCACTTTCTAAATGGATTTGTAGATGAGCTTTTCCTATCAGTTTTGGGTCCTGTGTGAGGAGATACCAGGCGTGTGCAAACAAGCTTGCTGCTTCCCCCCCGCCCCCCCCCC